CTACTCGTCGCGGGCTGCCAGGGTGAGCCGCTCCCGGGGTCCTCCGCACCCTCTCCGGGCACCCCCAGACCTTCGGGTGCGCCCATCCCAAGCCCACCCGGACCCTCCCCTCCTCCTTTCAACACCCCACCTCCCGGCCATCCTTCGGGTCCCTCAAAGACATCTCGCGAGCCTTCAGAGTCAGGCCTGCCCCAGGCCACCCCGGACCCTTAGAAAGTCCCTCCTGACCGTGAACTTCAGGGGTCTCCTTTGCACGAGCTCATCTTGTCCCGGATCCTCGGAAGACCTTCACAGCTCTCCCTGCAGACGTCTCCTCACCACTCTTGGCCACCCCAAGACCCTCTCCTGGGCCTCGGTTCCTTGGTGCACTCCAGCCCCTCCGGAGATATCCCCTTCTCTGCCCCCAGAGTGAGCTAGGTCCTCCGGGCCTGTCTCCCAGGACCCCTCTCCAAATTCAGATCTCCTGTTTGTTCTTGACCCCTGCCCTCGCCCTCACCCCCATCAAGTCTCAGAAAGGCCCTGCCTTGGTGCGGCCTCGATCTCTCTGGTCCTCCTGCCCCCTTTCACCAGCCAGGACGATTTCCCCTTCCACGCTGCAGAGCTGAGTCTTGGGGCACCTTTCCTCCTCGCCCTTCCCTGCCACCGTCTCTGTTCCTGACCCTTATTCCTTACCCCTTGCCACCTCTCACCCCAATAAACTTTCCCTGTAAAGCTCTGGGCATCCCCAAGTCTTTCCTGCTCCTCCTCCTGCCTCCAGAACCCCATGCTCTCTAGCGTTTCCTTTTGAGAACCCCGTGTGTCCACCGGAATCTCTCTTCCTCACCCCCGCTTCTCCCTTCTGTCCTTTCAACTGCACACTACACTTGGTCTCTGAGATCTCCCCCTTCCAAAGTCAGCTACTCCCTTTCCTCCTCTGTCAAGTGACTTTGCCTCTTATTCTAGAACTTCATCTCTCACCTCAAACCTCTGGAACCTCGCTCTAGTCATCAGCCCAGAAACTTCTCAAAATAGCTCCCACTCTTTCTCCCCTTCCTCAGGATCTTTCCACCTGCCCTGTTTTCCTTTGTCCAGCCCTGCTTTCTCTGTTTCTGATGCTCCCCTTCCCAAAGCCCAAGACTGGGCTGCGCAGCCTCTTGCCCTCTGCCATAGTGATCCAAAGAGCCCACTGTAGCCTTTCTTTCCTCCAGCCCTATCTCCCTCAAAATCTAGGATTCCCTCCCTAGAGCTCTCCATGTCTCCCAGAAAACTTCCTTAAGGGCCTGTAACTTCTCGGGCCTAGTGGCTACCCTCCCCCTGGTCCTCCCCAACCTCTTCCTCCTCAACTTCCTCCCAGCCCAGAACACCCCAGAGGGTGTGTGGAAAGAGAGAGGGGAGCAGTTCTAAGTGGGGGGGGACTGGAAAGGGGGGAGAGCAGAGCGATCCCGGGGGCCTCTTTCATCCCCCTGGAGGCCCAAACCCCCAGGAGCCGGTCCCGGCCCCCTCCCCCCACGGTGCCGCGTCCTGGGCCAGGAAGGACGCGGAGCCGCAGTGCCGCATTCGCCGGGGGAGGGAGTGAGGGGGAGGGGGGCCTGGAGGCTCCGCAGAAAGTTTGGTCCCTGGGAAGCGCTGAGCTGGCGAGATTTAGGGTTGAGTGGGGGGTGTGGGAAGGAAGAGGTGCGGAAGGACTTGGCCCGAGATGCCCCTGAGGCCTGCGAGCAGCCCCTCCCCCACGGCCCGGGGCGCCCTTCCCTCCCGTGACCCCCGGGAAGGGTGCTGAGGTGAGGGGGGAGGGAGGAAGTGGGGTTCTTCGGTGATGGTCTGGCTAGGGGGCCGGGACAGCTACGGAGGTCATTCATTGACTGCACAGATATTTCACTGGGGATCTACGGTGCGCCGAGCACTTTAGAGTCTCTGAATAAGACTGCTTGAGAGTTGGGAGCTCCGGCCAATGCCTAGGGCAGGGTCTGGCCCTACTTTCTCCTTTCCTTGTACTCTCTCCTTTCCTCCTTACAGGGACTCCATGCCCTCTTCATATTTCTTCTGCTTTTGAGCCCCCCTGGGGAAAGGGGTTAAACCGGCCCACGCTGTCCAACCCTGCGGCTGTGCACTGCGGCGGGTTCCCACCTCTCCCCTGTGTCTTGGGAGGAAAGGAGTTAACCGAGCCCGGCCCGCGGCCTCTGTCGGGAAGCACAGCTCTGCGGCTGCGCGCTGCCTCCTGGGCTGCAGCCCCAAAAGGGTTAAGACGGTGCCCAGCCACTGCGGCTGCGCG